AAAATAAATTTTATTGTGTCATATAATAGACAATGTATATAATGTTAGAATTAATAATATTCTAATGATATAATTATATTTATAGAATGAAATCATCTTCATAAAATTCGTTTTCTGAATCATCTAATGTGAAGTTTTCTGGTTTCAGTTTATTAAAAATTCATATCTTATTTTTTTCTTTTTTTGAAAATTCTAATATGTTTTTATGTTTTTTATTTATGCAATTTTTAATAGTTTTCTTATAAATTGACTCAAAATTAATTAATTACAATCAATATTCCTTTTAATCTATTATTATGATTTGGCACTTGTAAAACTATATTCTTGCTGCATTAGTATAAATCAAATAATTCTCATATGAAAACGATTTGTACTTTGTAATGAATTATTTTTTTTTATTTATTGATAATAAATAGAGATTTTTAAAAAAAAATTGTTAAAATTCTTGCATGAAAAATTTGTAAACTTATTATTAGGAACTTTTTTTTTTTACATCAAATAAAAAATCATATTTTTTTATATGAAAGGTATTTAACAAAAACAGGAATTATTGCTGCAAATCTTTCAATATAAAATGAATATAAGTATAAAGTAATATACTGCAAGACAACTATACTCTCAAATAAAATAAAAACTACATATATATATATATTTTTTTTTATGAAAAATTATTGTAAATTATATATAAAACAAAAGTTTATATATATATTAAAAATAATATTTATATTATATACTATATAATATATATATATATATTAAAAATAATATAATTAATTATAATAATATAATTATAATAATTATTATAATAATATAATTAACATAATATAATAAATATAATTAAATACTTGTTATTTATTAAATTAAAAAAAATAATTTTTACTATATCTTACAAATAATTAAATAATTTTTAAAAAATATAATTTATAATAAATTTTTATTTTTATTCAACAATAATCAATTATCAATGCTATAAAATATCTATATCGTTTAAGTATAAATGTGATAAAAATCAATATTAACTAAACTTATGCAATTTATTAATTCAATACATATGTATCGATTATAATTCTGAAAAATCTCGATCGTTAATCAACAAAATTTAGAAAAGTGACACAAATGAATTTTAATTCTAAAATT